ATTCTCAGATAAACAAAACCTGAAAGATTTACCAAAACCAGACCAGCTCTTCTAGAAGTTCTGAAGGGAGTACTATACCAGGAAAAAACTAAAGACAGACAGACAAATAAGAGAACAAAACATGACCACGAGAAAGGCCAACTTAATGGTAAGGACAAGTTCTAAAATATCAATAATAATGTTGAATGTTAATGGAAAGGTCAGACCACAGTAAAACTGCAAATTTAACCAGAGAGAGATTACACGAGACTGAACTGATAAAATCGAATTCTATGACTTTTTTTTCTAAAAAATTACTGATTTCTTCTATGCTTTGTCTTCTAGATTTAAGGATTATTGTTTTCTTTTGAGTAGTTGGGTTCAGCAATTTGTTAAGAAAAAAAAAAAAGGAATTTTTAAAATTGAAACATAAACTTTTCTCCTTTCCTGATCCTTGTGAGTATTCTTATTTTGTGGCAGAATAGTTATTTGCATAAGTTCAATAATACAATAGTATTTATTGCCCTGCATCAGAAATTGAATTCTTATTGGGATTTGTTCAAATAACAGACCAAATTGAGATGAATCTATTTTATTTATTTATTTATTTATCTACATATCTATTTCTTTTTTGCAAATAGGTGAGGTTAGACCTCTCTTTAATAAAAGGGAGAGAGACTAGCAGTTAGCATAATGGCTATGTCACTGTACTCCCATGTAGTTTACCGCGGTTCGAGTCCCAGACCTGGTGGCTTAAACTCACACCTGGTGTGTGTGTGTGCGTGCCCAAGATCCCAAGAATAGAATGGAGGAGAAGGGATTGCAGCATGACCACATCCCCCAAGGGGATGATTTCTCGCTTTCTATCTCTCTGTCTCTCTCTGTCCTTCTGGCAAGTGCGCGCGCCCTATAGAAAAACCTCTCCAAAAAAAGGGGGGGGAGGGGAGAATGGAGTGAGAAAAAAAAATTTTTTTCAGAAGAAAATTACAGTTCATTGTCACTAGATTCTGCTTTGTCCATACTTTAAAATGTGGGAGGAAAAAAAGTTTAGTATGGAAGGGAGGGGGGGAAGTATGCTTAATGGACAAAAATTAAGACGCTATGCTGATAATAACGTATATAGTAATATCTTTGTCTTAACTGACATACATGGTATTTGAGTTGGAAAAGGAAATAAATACTGTAAAGACGTGATAAAATGTAAATTAAACTTTTAAAAAAAAAAAAGAGACCAAAAAAAACCCTTCCCGTTACAGCTCTTTGTAGAGAAACAGGAACAGCTTTCTCTCAACTCTTACAACAAGAAAAAAAGATGAACAAATTGCAAATTAAATAGACAAATTCACCAGAGAACTGAGGTCCCAGATCAATCAAGTAACCCAAACTCTGGGTAAGACAGGTGCTTACAGGGACAAATAGAACCCCAGCCTACGCTTACCTGGACATCAGCCACTGCGCACTGGTAAGGACACCTGCCTAGAGGGCCACAGGACATCGCTAAGGGGACAACGTAGGCTCCTTTACAAATGTGGATCACCCAAGGGCCCTGAAACAGCAAGGAGTGTGTCCTCTAGCACACTTTTAGAGAACCCACTGGTGCTTACCAGAAGGGTGCAAAGAACCCTGAAGAAGTTTTCTCCTGCAGCATCAGCTTGAAGGGGAAGACCATTTACAAGCCATCTTCCCTATAAACCCTTCATCTGTAGGGGCAACATAAGCCACAGCTGGGGACATCAGTAGAAATCCTCTGTAACTGGGCGGGGAGGCCAGTGGTCACCACTGAAAACTGCCCTTACATATACCTATCTTCCTTATGGCACCTAGGGGACCGAAGTTTTAATCTACAGGGGAGAACAATGAAAACTAAACTATAACTGGAGAGCACTGTGGAAACCCTCTGCAGCTAGGAAGACGAGTACTGGAAGAACAAAACCACAGCAGCTCTGTAACTGGGGAGGGGCAGGAACATGTGCCAAGCCCAGTATCGTATATGAAGGAGAGATGATCAGACTTGTGAAGACCCTATCCTGAGACTCTGGTTCACCTAAAACTGAGGCCTGGAGACTATTAGAAAATGACCCTCTTCCTTCACCTGCCACTACCACCGCATGAACAAGCCTCAGATGGAGAGACCAACGAGGTATAGTCAAGAGGGCTTCAAAGCCAGACTCTGGGGAGGCAGCATTAAGGGAAGATCCAGTCAAGCGGGGAGGCCCTAAGCCAAGAGAGTAGTCATTTTAAAGAAATTCTTTGATTTTGTTTGAAATAATGTAGTCCTTCTGAATTAGTCCATACCATGAACTAAAATATCACTATAAAAAGCTGAAGCTTCTGCTGAAAACCTCAACAGGTAGGGGTGAAAACTGCATGGATGAGTTTGAAGGTGTGCCCCCCACCCCAACACACACACACAGAGCCCTTCTGCAAACTCTAGGAGAGTTATCTTCCCTTTGGTTCTAGACATTTAAGGAAACCTGTCAAATCACCAGAAGATCACTAATAGAACAGCAATTTCCTTTTTCCTTTCTTCCTTTTTGTTTTTTGTTTGTTTTGTTTGCTATAAGACACAAGAGCTTGCTAGGAAGAGAGAAAAATCATTCCCCAAGGGAGATGCCACATTCCATTCTCCTCTTGGGATTTTGGGCACTCACACACAGGCCTGATGTGTTTTTCCTAGCTTCTGCATCTGGAACTCAAACTTCAAACTCAGCCATGTGGGATCTAGCACTTTAACCTCTACACTGTCCTAACTTGTTTTATGAAACTTATTAACTGATAACAAAACCAAACAAAGACAGTACAAAGTAGAAAAACTTCAAATATCTCTCACAAATTTTAGCGCAAAAATCCTTAACATATACGCAAACAATGTATGGAAAAAAAATGTACACTGTGACCACATAGAATCTATTCCTAGTAAAGTAAAGCTGGAAAACCAATCAGTATACCTGTGATAAGCTAAAGAAGAAAGATAATATGGTCATATCAATTGAGATAGAGAAAATAATTTAACAAAATTAAACAGTCACTCATGAACAAAATTCTTAGCAAGTTAGAAATAGAGAAAATTACCTTTATTTTTTGGAAAGACCTTCACGCCGCAATCCCTTCTCCTCCATTCTCCTCTCGGGATCTTGGGCACGCACGCACACGCGCCCGGCGTGAGTTTTAAGCCACCGGGTCCGGAACACGAACCGCGGTCGACTACGTGGGAGTCCAGCGACATAGCCATTACGCTAACTGCTGGTTCCCCGCAGTGCATTTTTTAAATATAAGAACTTTGCTATTTCTTACTACTGTACTTCAAACTATCACATAGAAAGAGGTAAAAATTGTTCTGATCTAGAATTGTGGTAGCAGTGTAGAATAATCCAGCAAGGGTCTCTAAAAAGATATGAAAAGCTGGACCAGCCAGTGGCATGGTTGTTAAGGTGGCTAGATCTCATATGACTGACTACACAGTTTGAATACCAGACCTGGCAACTCAAAAAACATCCCAGGTGTATATGCGTGTGTGCCCAAAAGCCCCAGAGGAGAATGGAGAAGGGATTGCAGCATGACCATCCCCCAAGGGGATGATTTCTCGCTTTCTATCTCTCTGTCTCTCTCTGTCCTTCTGGCAAGTGCGCGCGCCCTATAGAAAAACCTCTCCAAAAAAAGGGGGGGGAGGGGAGAATGGAGTGAGAAAAAAAAATTTTTTTCAGAAGAAAATTACAGTTCATTGTCACTAGATTCTGCTTTGTCCATACTTTAAAATGTGGGAGGAAAAAAAGTTTAGTATGGAAGGGAGGGGGGGAAGTATGCTTAATGGACAAAAATTAAGACGCTATGCTGATAATAACGTATATAGTAATATCTTTGTCTTAACTGACATACATGGTATTTGAGTTGGAAAAGGAAATAAATACTGTAAAG